GTCTGGTTTGTGTCGCCTGGTCCACAATGGTCCTCCGGCGTGGTGACGCCGTTTGTACTTTACGGCGATGTGAGCTGCGCCACCTGGCTGTGAGGGCGAAGCGCGTGAAAACACGCAGGCAAATCAACGCTTCATCAGGCGCTGCATACGCACGCACCCACGACGGACAAACGGAAGAGAGACACCAACAATTTGGCACTCCTTACCGTACATCAAGAATGTGTCCGAGGCTACAGAACACATTGCGTCAGAGTTAGGCGTGGGTATTGCTCAACATCCGGCGGCTACCATGCGTAGTAGGATCATGAAAATGAAGGATCGGCTGGACGCAGGTGAGCAGTCGGGCGTCGTCTATCAAATCCCGTGCCACAACTGTCCTTGCCACCACACAGGACGACGTCTCAGCTCACGAATACTTGAGCACAAACGGGCAGTTCGGAGAGGCGACCCACTATCTCAAGTCACCACTCACACGCTGGAGGAAGGCCATGAGTTCGACTTCGCCAACACGCGGATATTGGCGCGAGCCGGCAGCAAGACGGGGCGAGAACTGTTGAAGGCGTTGCTGTCGGACACTAACTCTAGCAATAGACACATTGATTTGCCTACGTGTTTTCACGCGCTTCGCTCTCACAGCCAGGTGGCGCAGCTCACATCGCCGTAAAGTACAAACGGCGTCATCACGCCGGAGGACCATTGTGGACCAGGCGACACAAACCAGACCTAGCCACGGACGTAGTCCCTCCTCTCACGACATAACGATCTAAATGTTCACACGTTGCTGCACTCTAGCAGTCTCTGATGATGAACTCCAGTTCGAGGTCGAAAGCTTAGGCAAATAAATCTACCGTCCCAGTGATCGTGCCTTCGTCTTTTTTCAGGTTCGTGCATGTTTCTTTTACGCTCATTCACTGCCTTTGATTCCTTTATTTTTAAGAGAGGTAAAGTCTTTCAGCTGAGGCTTAGAACTTTTACGCTTGTTGAGGAGGCGACGCTGGGTCAGGTTTGTTCTTCCTTCAACTTTATTTCAAAGTATTCCGTCGGACGTGCGACCTTGTGTGGGATTTTTTGGATATCAGACATACGCGGAACATGTAGCCAGCTATATGTTCAGGACCGTTTGACCTGAAAAACGAACGGTCGCATTCTAAGTTCTGGCCAAATCTGTTTTTCAGCGAACATTCGACCTTATTTTGACATACATTACCTTTGTGCTAATAATTATAGCTCAGTTTGAACGGCCAGAGTGAAGTAGATTCAGTAAGTTACGGCTTATTCTTATCATTTCAAAACGCTTTAAAAGTGTTATCTTTGAATTTGCAGTGCGCCTGCAATCCCCACCGGGAAAATTTTGTTTTTACTAGAAATTCCGATCGCCTTTTTGAGAGACCTATTCAATCCTTTTCTTTCCATAGTATATTTACGCTAAGAACTTAAATTAAACCCCTCGGCAATAATAACAGATACATGGCATCTTTAATTAAAAAGCTTTTTTTTTCACAGCAGTCTACCTGACATGCACGATATTTAGTACTAAAAATATTTGGGAATGTCTGCTTGGCTTGGTGTTCCAGTACTTTTAGACTGCTGGGGCTGTTTTTGGCTGTTTTGAAAATGTCCGCCTTTCTGTGTTCACTTGGTCCCCTTTGCAATTTCTTTGGGTAGAGTCAGTCAAGGTGCTACTGCATCTGGGTACTGTAAATGAAAAGTCCACAAACGAGAAAAATAATTTCAAAAAGTGAGGCGATAGATGTCCTAAGATGCCTTGTGGGCGCCGCATAATCCTGTGTTTCCGAAACCCCATTATTCGCGAACAAAGGTTTTGAAAAATATTTTGCCAGACTACCCAACGTAATTGTATAGCAGTCATGAGAGGACACAATGTGGGGAGTAAAAAGCGCACAAAACTGCGTATACTATATGATAAAAACAAACTCAAGACACTCGTGCTTGACTGAAATCAACCATTTCTTAAGTGCAAGAAAATTACAGAGACCAGTTTTTGAGTCAATTCTTTGAATTATAATAGACTTTTGTCGCAGTAAGCACGCCGAAGATTCCTTGTAGCCCGATACCTATAAAGAATCGTTCCCCACCCGCTGAGTAGTGATTCAGAGGTTGGAATCGACGGCGTAATTTTTTAAAAAGTGGTACCGTTATATGGCCACGTTTGCAAGTAACTATTGAAAAGAGACAACTAAAACCACCGATAGACATATATAAGGAAACAAGAAAAGCAAATAAGAACGCCCAGTGATTGAATCATAAATTATGAGAATAACGAGGAGACTACTTCGAGTACGAATGGCTGAATATGCAGTAACAGTGAGAAGGAATGGCGGAAGATTCTCAAGCCACTGCCCCTTCGACATGACCTGACCACGTCTTTAAGTCTGGCGAGGTCAACGTCTTCGTAAAATGCAGTACCCCAATGACTTCGAGTTGTCGGGTTCACGGATCTCCGTTCAAGAAAAGTTACCTTAATGTTGGTCCGCTTTCTCATTTACATGCTAAAACGCGACTTGTACGGTGTAATTATTCATAATGAAGAGTGCGGTTAAACAATGCCCCGGTTATGGTACGGAAGAGCTAACTTTACAACTATTTATCGCGCTACGCTATGAGGACCCTGCTAGTAAGAATTCTGGTGTGGTTGACCAAGCAACTATCGCGTCAGTTACGAACATTCGGGCGAAAGCGGGAAAACCGTTGACTCGAACACGGTCTGCCAACCAGCGGACGTTAGACGCTATAGCAACCGCAGCGTATGAGCACTGAACCCCTGTGCCTCACTATCTTGCTTTGGCTCCGGGGCTGGACGCGGGGATAAGTACTCCCCGCCCGTAATACGTATGGCCTTGTGCTAAATTCCAGGAGGTCCCTTATTTCCTTGTCCTATCTTTAACCCTAAACCTCTAGGAATAAGTGAAAGGCCACTTGTAATGCTTGACGTGGGTACCTATTCCATTGTCCTACCGATTCCGGCTCTGACAGTGAGTCCAAGTATGAGTCCGAAACCTCGGGTTAGTAATTAGCTTGCTTCATCAAGGGAATACCCATCTTCCTAGTGCCACCTGAACCTAGCCTCTTTGTGTATAGCAGCAGTACATAAGTTGGTAAAATTTCGTCAGGTTGATTTGCCATTCTAACGCAGTTTTTCATGTGGAGATTTTCTTGTCAGAAATTAACAAACTGACTTTTAAACGGATTAAGCGCACTCCCCTTAGGCTTGCTGTGTATACTATCGAGTTTGCCTCAATAGGCGCAGGTGATGGTCAGATTTAAACATAACCAAACATACAGCACAGTTTGGAGGCACGAGACATGCCTGCCCACTCATGCCTGCCAGCTCATATCTTCATCTGCGCTCAGCGATCGGATTATGGAAGTTGTTCGTCCAGCTGTGCCCTGAAGCTCAGTACATTTCCATACAAAATCTCGAGCGCCCAGGCCTTGTTGTCAACAACATCATCTTACGAACGATAGAGGGTCATCCTTTCTTTGAAACGGAGTCCTATACAGGGAGAACTTTCACTTGGAAACCTTATCAGGTTGCACAGGATCATCAGACTTAGGATAGCACATGGAGAATACAAAGAGCCGTATATGTTGAACGTCGTCCGTGCGCAGAGGCAATATCGGTTCTCTTGAGAGGTTTACGCAGCGATAACGTTTAGGAAAGCAATATTTTGACTGAGCATGCCTTGTCCTACTTAAGTGAAACGGAACCCCTGATTCTGTCCATCTGCATACGTGCAGATGAAGAAGGAAGCTGACTCCCTCAACAACACTGTCACATAGAAGGAGTACCTTGGGCAATTCTTCCAAAAGTTGCCATCCCGAATTCAAAAGCACCTAGAAGAGATAAGTTGCAGTCAGCCTCCCAGCCAGACTTGCCAGCCTATCCAATGCAACTAAGGAGGCAAACCTCAGCATAACTGAATGGCCATACACGGTGCAAACTTTGTGCAATCAGCGTCCACTGAAGAAGAAAAAGAAGAAGATAAGGTGTGTTCATGGACCGAAGTATGCTTACACTTACGTTTCTGAAACTTCCTTGTTCCAATTGCCAAAGTCGTGTGGTGCCGGTTACTGCTGTCCTAACTTTACTCAACATTGTCATCTACCTCGTACTAAAGCCGTGCTCGAGGCATGAACTGTGACCTGCCCGTTTACAGCTAACTAGCTTTGACCTTTCCGAGGCCGACTAGTGGCGGGCTCACGTGAACTTTGTCCACTTTGCGACAGTCGTAGTTGCAGCCAAGTCAGCGTGCGTCGAGTACGGCTTTAATGCGAGGCAGGCGGTGAGGCTGAATAAATCAAGATCTGCAGGAACTGCCACCACGCCACTCTTTTCTAACACTGTATAGGAGTTTTGGTACAATCGGGTGTAAATACATCAGGCGCACGAAAAGGGACTTGATGGTGTGATCGGTCAAAAAGAAAACAGCTGCCTATTGAATGCAGAAAAAAGGTGCATTGATGATTAATTAAAACCGCCTGCTAGACAGCGTCCTTAAGGTGCCTGTAATGTGTAAGAAGATGAAAGTTGCCTTCTGAAGGTGAATGGGTGCTAATTGTTCTGACCGCTCTATCGTTCTTACTTCTCCCCTCACGCCTCCCCCCCCCCCTAAAAAAATTACTATCCGCCTGTCATGAAGACAGCCTGACATTGTTCGACGCTGTCATCGCATGGACACATCCAGCAATTCTACGTTGGATGCGCCAAGCATTCCCAATGCGAAAATCATAAGCCGATAAAAAAAAGGAATGGAATTTGTCAGAGTCATCAGTTAGGGCCTCGTCCCAGCCTTTAAACTTACGACAAGTCTATGTGATCATCCCTCCATTTGTTGACTATATCTCAACTCCAATAAAGTTGGGCTGGCATACTAGGCGCAAAAGCTCGCATATACATCAAAATTCGGGAACAAAAACTATACGACATTATAAACGTTACTATTTTGTCTGTCAGTACAATAAGTTGAACGGATACAAACTCACGGAAATTTGTGTTCGAAGGGAGTCTCCGGCGCGAGTTTTCGTCCTGGAGGCCGAACGAGCTGCGCAGGCACCGGCATGTCCTTTCTCGACCAATCGCTCGACTCTTCCACAAGAGGAGATATAGCTGACGGTGTTTCAGTCTCCGAACCACCTTCCGCCATAGCCCCCGCTTTCTCTGACGGTCTCGGCGTCTGTCCTGTCAACTGCTTCTCGAAGTCAAGGCGCCCAAGAAAGGCGTACACCAAGGCCGCCGGATCCGCAGTTTCGGTGTCTGTGACCTCGTCCCCCGCCACGCCAGAACAGTTGACCATCGGTAGGGTGTAACGCGGCCACATAACTGCTGAAGACGGCAGTCAATGAACCCAAAATTAAGGAACGCACAGTACTGAGCGAGTTTTTTTTTTACTCACCTCAGCTTATAGACCACGGTTTTTTATCTCTAGCAACTGCTTCCATGGGTTCTAACTGTGCACTATGCTGAAAGATCCTCACCCCCAAAACAGATTACGTAGGCGACGCAGTAAAACAGCCGAATTAATAATTTAGCGCAGTCCGCATTTTCTGTCATCTAGGTGTTCAGTCCAACCTTGAATGAATTATGAAAAGGAACTAAGGGAACGAGATCGGATTCCAGTACTGCTTGTGTATGCAGAGCGTCAGTGCTTCACGCATTGTTTTCGGAGACCGTAATGATCATCAGTCTGCAAACTGAGGATATCCAGTCTGATGGAATGTCCTGAAGTGACGCAGTTTACGCCCATCCCATCACTCCAAGCCCAAATGAAAAGGGGCTGATAAAATTACGGAATTTTTCTCCACAAACTTACTCTGCTCTTGCTTTAAGATGGTGGTCCCTAGTTCGTAATCTGTGTGGCCCTCTCCATGGCCACCAGCTGCCGTAGCTATAATCACGTTTACATTATTTAATGCAGGCTGGCTGTGCTATCTTTCAGTTCAGTAAAGATTATGGTGTGTGACAGCCTGCTCAGTTATGGAGAACATGCAGTTCCAACTCGACATCGCTGCGGGTTCAGAACCACATTGTTAGACTGGTCGGAACACTGGGCGCCAGCCCTGGAAAATGACTTCTTACGTGAGAACGGCTTTCATTGATCTCACGCGACTATAGGCAGAAATATCGGTATCCGTATTGTCTTGGAGGTAAAAACCAAATGGTTTTTGGAAAGTACAGCTAGCTAGTGTTTGAAGACGGAGACTACGACACTAGCGGACATTTCGTAGTTATTACGATAACCAGATCCCACTCGTCGCAATTTTGTTGATTTATGTACACTAGTATTTGCATCATTTCGACGACAACTGAGCGTTGTTTTACTTGACCTCAAAAAGTAGACATCGGAAGATCAAATAAAGTGCGGTGTCAAAGAGGGCTCATCCAAAATGGAAGCCCATCCGAATTCGAGTTAAGGCTGGACCAACATCCTCAACAGATGACTGCTATAAGAACCTCAGGGTAAGGACAAAAGTTTTAAAACAAGTTTGTCCGATGAGTGTTGAAACCATGCTTGGCACTCATTTTCGGATGTCCTCTAACAAAAAAGGCTGACCTGGATCTGTCAGGTCATAGAAAGTACAGAAGCAGCATAGATTTTCCGAGACT